TAATTCTTCAATAAATCGTGTTGTCTTAAACTAAAGTAGAACCTGGTGCAATATAAAAAAAACTTCCACTTTTGCAAAATCAAATGTCTCCTGAGCACAGGTATGCATACTCCCAAATTGAATGTAGTAAAATAAATCATTTGAATACCCAAAGCTTATAAAAACTATCACCAAATGGCAGTCTTTACTGTTTGTTTTATCTCCTTTGAAGGAATTGTTTACTCAAATTTCACACTCATGCTCTTGAATAAATTTATCGTCAGCTCAATATTCTAAGATAAATCTAAAGAAATAATGATGAATGCAATTTGACAATCATAAAATTCCTTAAAGACTCAAAAATAATAAAATTTTTATTAACCATTTTATTACAGTTGCCTTTACAGAATTGTGAAAAATTTCATAAAAATGCACTTAAAAGAAAGACAACAAAAAGCTTTGCATTGATTGTCGTTTACCTTTTTTGTTACTGCTGCTGTGTATTGTTCGTAATAATAAAAAAATTTCTTTCTTTTCGGTCGCACTGCTTTTTAACTATGATTTTTAAGAGTCTAAGGTTTAATGATTTAGATTTGTTTCGCTGAAATGGCGCGGTGGAGCAATTGACTAGGATTTGTGTACCATTATTGAGTATCGAGGGTTCGAGACTTAGCTAGAAATTTGTAATTTTTGTAACATTGGTGCTGAAAGTTCGGAAATACTGGTTTGAATCCAAATTGAAAATCTCTTGTTGAAGGTTTCATGTGCTAGGCCCATCTTTAGATTTTGAGGAGCACAGAAAATGCTAGTGTCATATAGAAATCATCTTGTATCCATCTCGTATTTGGGGCAATTTATATAACTTAAAATACTTCTAAAATACCAACAAAATGCGTTTCTGTCACCTTACTTGCTTTTTGTAAATTTCTATCCCCTCTTTAGTTCCAATCAAATTTATGGAAAGTTATTGCAAGCTTCATATAAAGCTTCGATCATGATGATGACAAAAAAGAGATGTGAAGAACTACGAGCATAAAATGACAGGAAAAAAAAGATCTCTTACACAAATTTTTCATTCATGCTCTAATTTTATAGTCTTTTGTGCATAGTTTGAATGATTCAATATAAAGAAAGTAAAAAAGGCATGAAATTTTTTTTATGTATATGTGGAAATTTTCTTATGAATAGAGAAGAAAAAAAGTCATAACAATATCGACATAGAAAAAAAATTCTCAATAATCCAACAAAAAAAGAAAATTCTTTTATTACAAAAAAGGAGCAATAAAAAGTGGAAAAAAAAGAAAAAGAAAACTTTTGCAATGTCCAATTTTTTTTATATATTCAAAGTCATTGGGGAATCAATTTCTTTTTTTGTCAAATCAAGCACAATTTGCATAAATTCATTTATGCGACATATATGAGGTTCGTTTTTTTTTCTCTTCTTTTTGGTGTCACAAATGCTAGAAAACTTTTAAATGAATAAGAAGAAAGAAGGGAATTTTTTTTTGTGACGACTAAGCAGAACAACATACAATTTTGATGAGGGATGCGTATTATTGGAATTTTGATATTTTGTTTGCTCAATGTTGTGGATATAATGTAGAATTTGAGATCAAATACTAAAAAAGAATAGAAAATCAGGCATTTTGAAGAATTTCTAAATGGACGTATTCATACATTTCTGAAAAAAAAAATATTTCAAGCATAACACATGCATGATAATTTATGAGAAAAAGTGACTTTTAAAAACTTTTCATGCATAATGTCAAGAAAGAACAAACCGTTCAATAAGGATAAGAGCTCTAAACCACCAATATGAATTTTATAATCCAACAATGAATTAGTCAAGTTGAGCCCATACATCATAATTAACCACTTCCGTTTTTCCAAATTTATACCAGCGGGAATCAGCAAATCTCACCATTTTTTCCGTTCAATCCATTCGATAGCATCAAAAAGCTTTTTTTTCTGCACATTTGTGATTCAAGATTTGTAATCTGAAGCAATTTCAATTTCAAAACGTATTTGCCATACATGATGTACATGGCATGAAATAAGAATCATAGGAATGGCAATCAAAAACGAATAAATTGGATGGAAAATCTCTAAAGCATGTTTCAGTGAAATTCAACTGTGAGCAGTTTTTTTTACAATCTACTCGTTTGCTTTTGGTTTTCACATTCACATTCATGATGGTTAAGAGATAGAGGAAGTAGCACCAGCAACAATGGCTTATACTGAATGAGAAAATGCACTAACAGCTTTTCATTTGTGATATCGATTTCCAAAAATCTGAATGAGTATTCTGTAGACGTCTCTTATGATTACTGAGTTGATAGTTTAGAGGGAAAGCAAAAAAGTACAACATGATAGATTGGAACGAAAACATTGGATGAATGCATAGGTCAGGAAGGCTTTTTATAAGTGATGATAATCATACTGAATGGAAAATTTAATGCAGGATCTATTGTCATTCAAAACATTCCTGGTGAATTATTATTATAGGATGTGGTACAAATAAAGAACTGATAATGTTATCAGGCGCGTAGCCAGGGGGGATTTGGGGGACAAATCCCCCAACTTAAACAGAAATTTCTTTATTTTGCTAGGGTTTTTATGGAAAAAATCACAAAAATGCACCCCCCCCCCCCCCTCCTTAAATTTTTCCATGCAAGTTTTAATTTGTTTATACAGGAAGAATACACAGGAATAGGAATCGTCAATTGGTTTGATATTTCGTTAATTCATTAGATTCCCACTTGATTCCAACACAGCACACATGAGTTCGATTATCAACTTTTTCTCATTTTTTGAAGCATATACACTAGGAATGAAGACAGGCTAACATATTCATACTTCCTAATAAGTTTTGATTTAAAAATTGTTATCAAGTCTTTATGATAAACCTCATTGCTGCTAAAAATCCTCAATAATCTGAGCATCATTTGGATGTAGGTTTAAGTCATTCTCAGTATTTTTACTAAAGTCATTTTATTTTTAAAATGCATCAAAAATGGTTCACAAACAAAACCTCAAGTGAGGCTTGAAACTAAGCTTTCTCGATTTCTCGGTCTCGACAAATTCTCGAGACCGAGACCGAGACCGAGACTTCCCGGGAATTCCCGGGAAGTCTCGACTTTAAAAACTACTTAAAATTTCGCTGAAAGTAATTAAAAAACACTTAGAACATGTAGATTACGTCTATTTGTTATTGAACTTCTGGATATATTCCTTGTTATGCGATCAGTCAAAGTAATTTTATTGTTTTAATACTAATATAAAATATAAAAGAAATACGAAATACGTAATGATAAAAGAAAAGCATAATGATAAAAAAAGTGTGTCCCTATTAAAACTATTCTGGGTTTTGGAAATGACTTTTCACAAAAACGATAGTATTTAAGTATTTGTTAAGCAATCGCTTCCTTTGCTTGGTCAAAACATTATTGCTGATTGAAAAATTACATTCACTCTAGGTAGATGTTGGTTGAATGCTTAGCAGTGCATTATACAGCTGATTTAATAACGGAGTTTTGACTTTATTTCTCTCATACCATGAAAACTCGCGTTTTAAGTTTTCATTAATGTTTCGAGTACTAGGCTCATTTGATGTAAATTGCATCAAGCTTAACTTCAAACGATCTCAAAGAGAATTTTGTTGTAATTGAGTAACTTGAGAGTTGGAAGTTGACTGAACTGGTTCATTATTACCCTAACTGTAAGATTAACTACAAACTGTGATGGGAAAAATTCTAAAATTATCATTTTTACTTAAATTTTTTTCTTCTCTAGTCTCGGGTCTCGGTCTCGGAAAATTCTCGAGACCGAGACGAGATCGAGACCGAGACTTCCCGGGAAATCTCGGTCTCGATTTCGTCATCGGGAAAGCATACTTGAAACACCATAAACAAACAACAGTAAAACATTTCGATTGAGAAATCTAAGCAGTACAGAAGAAAATATGTGACACTTGAATCTACCTTTAAGAGTATTTTTCAAATGCATTTTCCATAAGCTTCAGTGCAAACAATTGATCACGTACATCACGAACTTGGCTTCATTTGTTCTTTCACAGAGAATGGAATAAAGAAAATTGCTTTTTATCACAACACTGGTTGTTTGCTACTCATAAAAAAACTAGTAAAGCCACACAAGAGGAAAAGAATGAACAATATTCATTAAATTATTGTTCATCAAAAATTCATTTCATATCGTTGTTTTAAAACCGTAAAATAGCATGGATATAACAACTGGTTTGAGGAAGGGAAAAAAATTTAATTCATTAACATGATGAAAAAAATGAAAGAAGAAGTTGAGCGTCGTAAAATTTTATTTCATTTCTCATTATCATAATTCCTCTAAATCGCTTCATCGACACAACCCCTTATTTTTTATTGGTGGTACATCTTCTGTAGAGAATTAACAGATTTGCATCGTAATTTACAGTTGAAATATATTTTTAATTTTTATATCTCAACCAGAAGTCATTTAATGTTTCTATGCAAGAGTTTTGATGATGAGTCATGGCTGAAAATGATTTTATTACGGAATATATGTTAAATTTTTTATCAAAAATAATTGTTTTGTTTTTCGTGAATTTTTAATCTCTCAGAAATTCCCAACTGCTGAAATTATTTTTAGTCACATCTACATTGGGGTCGTTCACTTATGACGTCCAAAATTAACGGTTATTTTCAAAAACGAACAATTGATTTTTATTGCCCCCCCCCCCCCTGGACGTCATAAGTGAACGTAGCTGAAAAAACTTTTATAATATGAAACATGCATTTATTAAGTGTTATTTAAATTGATTTAGGCCACTGCTAACCATACTTCCTTAAAAAAATTATTGATACCATAAAATGCAGAATATATTTAAAGTCTTTCAAACAAAATATGTCCCGGTATATAGTTTAAACACAGGGAGCTAATTAGTTGGACTCTTCAAAGAATTATTTTTGAACTAGGATAATTACTGCGCTCCTAGTCTTAGCTTCTACTATTTATAAAAAAGGCGTCTATTAAAATTTAAAATCATTTATTTTATTACTATTTCGAATTTTATAACTTTAAAAAAACATCCAGTATGTTCCAGCTTCAATCACTATATATTATGTCCAGGAATTTCTACAGTTGTATTAATTGTGTTTGTCGATCTTGCACGTACACTATAGAGATCACTTTGTCGATAAAATAAATTCTTAAGTTTCAAATAACCAAAAATAATTCCGACGACAACTAAGCATGTGATTACCATAGTAAGAAGCACATGAGTTGTTTTGTTTTCATTCTCATTACCATTTTGTTGCTTTACGTATTCATACTTGATTGGTGTCACTTTTTGATTGTCGGCTAAGAGATCTGTAAGTTGAGATTTTTGAACGAAATTTTGATTTTCCAAGTCTTTTTTAGTGATTTGAATGTGGAGCTGGTCAATTTTAAGTTGTAGCTGATCAATAGCTAATTTCTGTTTTTCAAGTGTAAAATTGTTAAGTTGTTCCATCATATTTCGAACAGCTGTGAGATCTACATCATTATTATCATTTGTGCTGTTCACATTCATCAAAAATTGATCCTTTGCAACTTTAGTCTTCAAATCGAGAATGTCTTTCTGAATGTGAAAGAATTCAGCTCTAACTATATCGCTGTCGTATTTCATATTATTATTTCTAGTCTTTTCAGCATTTATTTCTTCGATAATTTCATTTAATTTCTGTACCAAAGAGTCATTTGCCTTATCACCATCAACAAGCTTTATTTTTAGTTGAGATGATGTCATGCATCCGATTCCCATGACATTGGATAAGTTCTTGACAATGTTTGAAGGCTGACTTATCAAAATTGAGTTCTCTTCAAATAATTTGTATAGAGTAGCTAGATATGAGCAATTCCAGTTGTTGTCAGCAATTCCGATTTCTGTTAAATTTAGGAATATTTTATTGATTTCATTGACATGCTCGAAGCTTGTTAAATTATTTCCGCTTATGTCGAAAAGTTTCAGAGACTTCATGCTCGTCAACATTTTAATGTCAATTGATCTCAAATTATTGTGTGAAATATCAAAAGTCTTGACATTCTTCTGATGACTGAACATTCCATAATCAATGTGCGACAATCCTGTGTTGCTGAGCTTCAATTCTGTCAGTTGTTCCATTTCAGAAAATGTGTCGATTTTGATTGTTCCAAGAAAAGTATTTGTGGCATCAAGTTTGACAAGCTTTGTTGCATTTTTAATTAAATCGAAAGTTACCAATCCAGCTGGAATATTTCTTATTTCCAGTTCTGTCAAGTTTTCTACATTAAACTTTAGATTTGATAACTTGTCATTTTCTGAAATCATTAATTTTGACACTGTAGGGACGACTGCAGTAGCTAATAAGTTTTGTGTAGCATTTAAGGTGCCAATTGTACAATTTCCCAACATAAACTCTTCTAATTGATTTGAATCCAAATAAAGGCTCTTGATATTTGAACAGTTGTAGTTAAAAACTTTCAATTTATTAAACGAGAATGAAAGAGAATCGAACTTCCTGGAAGATTTTGTTGCTGAAATTGGAGGAATTATGTCCTCAATTTCGTTGTAATCAAGTAGAAGAGATGATCCTTCAGACTGTCCAACTGCATCAATCATAGTTTCATAAATTTGCTTTAATTTGTTATTTGAAAGGTCGACATTCTTTAAACTCTTGCTGCATTCATCAAAAGCAGTAATATGAATACTTTCAATTAAATTGTTGCTCAAATCCAATTTTACAAGAGATTCCAGATGAAGTAAAACAACATTTCCTAGATTTTTAATTTTATTGCTTGATAGATTCAAAACTTGAAGTGCTTTATAGGATTTAAAGTCGTCCCGATTTATTTCAGTCAAATTGACATTTACCGCTGTCAATGTATTGATTTGACTGAGTTTTGAGAATGTGCCCGATGGAAATTTTTCGAATTTTGAGTTCTCAAATGTCAAAATAGAATATTCAGTCAAGTCCTTTCTCGTTAGTCGATAATTACTGTCGTAGTAGCAATTATAAGTGCACGAATAAATTCTAAAATCACTAGTTTTGAGATTATTAAAAATTGTCTCGAGCGATTCTTTTGATATAATTCCTCTGACTTTACAGTTGGTTACACTCCCGACAGTTTGCGGATTGTCACAGATAAAATTTTCAAAGTAATTAATTTTGTTATAGTTTGCAGATGCACTTGAGACTATCAAAATGCCGACAATAAATCTCATAATATTAATATTTCGAGACATTGTATAAAATCAGAACTGTTCTGTGTGAAAACTAGAGTGAGACTAAACGGAGACTTAAAAATCTGTAACAAGAGTAAGAATGACTTTTTATCAGTGTTTATGTTTCGAGCTGCATTATGAGAAAGCGGAGAAAATAAGACGCAATGAATAATTTCACAAATAATCCTTGCTGTTTGCTGACCAGAACTGCTATGGAAGATGAATGATTTTTTTTTGATAAATATAAATTTTAAGGATTTGGACTGGTGTTGGAATCTTTTTAAAGAGAACTTTTCTGTCATTTGACTGTTTTGACTCCAAAATTTCCTTAACAATTTTATTATAATTTGGATTTCAAGAATAAGGGAAATAAAGTTAAATTCTGTAATTTGAATTAATGAATTCTCTAAATTGCTTCTACGCAAACAGAGCCGGCAATAATATGAAATCTATTTAGTAAATCACTCCGACGCAGAACATTCACGGACCATTTCTCAATTGTACCACTCGGGCATATTAATTTAAAACTTCTGAATTTCTTCTTTGTTTAATTTCAATTCATATCATCTTACTTCCTCTTTTCTATATGAATGTTTACACAAATTTTTGCACATTCATTTGAAACTTATCGTATTAAAGCAAGAGGAGGTCTGAGATTTTGTGAGGGTCCGAAAAATTGTTTTTTTTTTGACAGCAAAAAGGGAATCTAAAATATTTTTTTTTATAAACCGAAATATTTTGTAATAGTAAAGTAACAAAGAAAGTTAGAACTCATATTCCGTTGTTTGTGTATTAATTATAGAAATCTCGATTCATCGAATCAAGGATTATCAAATAAAACGAATTAAATCTTTGGATGATGGGGCATCAATGAGATGTCCTGAAGCTAGAATGAAAAAGAACAAAGTGTTGATTTATGATAAAATTTCCAAGACAACAACCGCCATCGCCAGCATCGCATCACATAACACACAGTGTGAGAATGAATGCCATAAAAATTGTTCTGCCATTTACTCATTTCACGATAAGAGCTTTTTTTTCTAGCAACATCTCCTGATATTTATTCATTCACTTACTTTACTGTGCTATTTGCTATGTCTGTGAACGAAATGCAAGCAAACACATGATGATGGTGAAATGGAAGGAAAAAAATCGATCGAAAACATCTCAAAACTCATCATCGCAGTCTTTTTTATGACTCTTTGATATCAAAAGAAGATTCTTTTCGCTCACTCGTGCTGCTTTATTGAGATTATATCTTTTGGCAACGAGAAATCATTTCATCGATCTTTATTTTCCTCTTACATAAAAAAATATTGTGAAATAAGTAAAGAAAAATTATGGAGTGAATGTAAATCAAAGTTTTGTTCACACACAAAAAAGCAAAGATTTTGGATAGGGGCCATTCACTTATGACGTCCAGGGGGGGGGGGGGGGGGGGGGGGGAAGTGGTGTTCAGCAAGAAAAGAACAATAGAAATTCCAGAAAATCCCTTTTTCTTTTTTGAAAAATGACTTTTAATTTCGGACGTCATAAGTAAGTGAACGACCTCATAGAATGTGTTTTAATAACAGTACTGGGGGTTCACGATTAGAATAGATTCGATTTGAGTAACGAAAATTAATGAGTAGAAAATTCAAAATACTTTTTTGGAACAGACATTTTTCATTCAAAAAGTTCATAATTCGATTTAAACAGGGTTTTTCTGAAATAAAACACATACTCAATTCGAAGACCCCCTATTCATATATTTTAAAGCAGTGTTGTATTCGGGCGATTTGTCTGGATCAGATAAATTCTGAGACAGAAATTTCTTCATAAAGATCGATTCTATATGAAGATAGAAAATCTAATCTACACAAAGATTATTTCTACATAAAGATTCTGTCTACATAAAGATTCGATGTAGATGTCTACAATTCTACATTCTTCTCTGATGTAGACCTGGAAAAAATGTAGAATTGTAGACATCTACATCGAATCTTTATGTAAACAGATTCTTTATGTAGAAATAATCTTTTTGTAGATTAGATTTTCTATCTTCATGTAGAATCAATCTTTAAGAAGAAAGCTTCTTAGCTAGACGAAAACTATTGCAGAATCTACATTCTTCATCTAGTGTAGACATCTACATTTGCAACACTGTTTTAAAGTTAAACATTGAATTTTCGATCATTTTGTGATAGGATTGAAATTAGCTTTATGTAGATTAAAGAGTCAAACGAGATGAATCCTTTTTCAAAATTTCTTCAAACATCTCACAACTTCTATAAAATTCAATAAGAAACAATGTCCAAGTCTACTCAATTAACGAAATTGAACTTTAAGCATAATCAACATTTTCCTCTTCATTACGTCTCTAATCTCATAATAATCACCATAATAATCACAATATTGAGGAATTGTCTAAAGACTAAGCACATTGTTAATGGACATAAGTACATATATAAACAAATATGTGTTTAATGAGCATGAATTATAAGATGTGCAAACTCAAGAGACGAATTAAACAGCTTTATAACTATTTAATGGCATCGGCTTTAATGTAAATGAGTGTTTAGTCAATATTTTGTTTTAAAGAAATTTTACAATAAATTTAAGGATTTCCAATTTAATGTTTTTAAAGCTTAAAATAAAAGAAAATTCCAAAAATATTGTTTCGTACTAAAAATAAACATAAGGCAAAATACTAAAAGCGAGGAATGAAAATCAAATTTCTTATCAATTTATATTTGCTTCACTGCTATCAATTCTTCTTGCTCGTCATCATCTTGATCAAATCTAATTTCTTCTATGGAAGTTTTATATTTTTCAAGATTTTTATTTTATTTCATTAGAACTTTAGCATGAGCATAAAGTATATTCGATTATACCTACAGAAATATATTATATAATATGATAACGGAAGTTTCAAGTAGATATGAATAAATTGAGGAATTCTTTTCACATTTTTTGTCCATCGATAAGAAAATTCTGAATAAAATAATAATGTCATTGAGACAAAAAACAAATTTTCAGACTTAAGCTCTTCATGTGAGGCAGCAATGAGAAGAAAGTTCTTTGTTTTTTCCTTTCATTTCTTCTTTTATTGCTGCTCATAATTTTCCTTCTTTTCTGCCTTATTCTTCTGCTGTGCCTTAAAACAATGAAAACAAATAAAAAAGAGGAGAAAGAAGAACTGAAACTTTTATGTTTGTGTGTCGACTTATAAAACTGAAATTGATTTGCAATAAAGAAGCAAAAGAAAGGAAATACGTTGAACGATTATGGCTGATGATCAGCTTTTGATATTTTGCTAACTCTTTTGATGATGTTTTGATTGAAAAGTTTTGCGAAATGGACGTTTTGATAAAAGTTTTTAAAATTGAGGAGGATAAAAGGTTCAATTCAATACTAAATGACTATTTGAACAATTATTTCTGAAAAACAAAATCAAAATTTTTAAAACTTTACAACAAAAATTCCAGCTAGATCAAGCCATCATAAAAAGATGAAACTACGACAAAATAGGCACAAAAGCTTTCCATTCAACAACATTGTTAACAGAAAAACTTATCAAATAAAAAAAGTGAAAGTTAGGAAAAGTGAAACTGGCAATGATGCTTTAAGCAATTGAATACAAATTTATATTTCGACAAGTGATTGAGTTTTCTAAAAGATTTTAGTTTTCGAAATGATCTTGTTTTCAACAAAGTTGAGGTTTAGAAAACAATTTTTTGATAAAATATTGATAATTTGTGGTTATTGAAATGTGATTGGATATCTTTATTTAATCTTATGAGTTATTGAACATTTTGTCGTAAACTGTAAACTCTGCATTTGATTTCTGGATTCATTTTAGTTTCCTTCGGACAATTAAAGTCTTGGGAAAATTCTTGAAAATTTCCTACAACTCCATTGGTTCGAAATGGTGAAATTGTATGTTCACCGTACAGAAGAAAGTTTTTTTTATTTTAGAATGGTCATAATTGTTGCAAAATGTCTGAGCAAAAGAAATCCAAATCAACTGATTTGAGGTTAAACTTAAATTTGGCAGTATTTTCTCACGACTTCTATTCTGTTCTTGCCATTTTTTGTAGACATTGTAAATTAAATTCATTCCTTCAATGTCGGCAACATTTTCATCTAAAGTGGATTTTCCATTCAAAGACAAACCTGTTACTGGATCTACATATAGGGAATATTGATTTTTAATGCATTTATACCTTTCTAAAAAAGGGTCATCATTATCAAAAATTTGAGGACTGTGTACAATTTCATGTGCAATAATAAATCCTATAGAACCATAATTCAAAGCATTCGGTCGATCAGACAGATAAAAATTATCTAAAATTATTGCAGGACTAATATAAATTATCGGGAATGTAAATTATTATAATAATAATACTCATAGGTTTATCGAGCATCTTTAAGTTTTTGCATCTTTATCTCTATGAATATACCTGGTAATCCAAAAAAGACCTTAACAATTTCCAAAAACATTAAGGGGCTGTTCACTTATTACGTAACGCGAAAAAATGACTTCTTAGACCCCCCCCCCTCGTAACAAAATTTGTATGAAAAAAAAATTTCCTTGTTTGAACCGTAACAAAATCTTAGACCCCCCCTCCCCCTAAAAGCGTTACGTAATAAGTGAATGGCCCCTAACAACTTTGACATTTTTCACTTTGAATAATAATTTATTTTAAAATGTTTTAAAATATTAAATATCACTATTGTATGAGATATAGATCACTAATGATTTGATATCCTTCCTGAAAATGTATTTATACAATTTTTATCTTGAAAAATATTACATCATTGTGAAATCAATTTCTCCGTCATGCTCATGCAAAACAAATGTAATAAAAAGGAAATAATTTTTTTTAAGAACTTGATGAAATACTCAATATGATAGGAAGTAATGACATCACTATCCTGTATCCTATCATCAAGTGTGATTCATTTTTATAAGCAGAAACATAAATTTATATAATTACAGATCGCGTAATACAAGCTTTAATGTAATTTACATTAGACTGTCATTAATTCACTATGTTTTTTGACTATGTAAGATTTAAAGAAAATAATGTAAAGTCTTTTGATTTAATCTTTTTACGTCTTTTTTGTGGCATAGCCAGTGTAAGCTTTAACCAAAAAAATCCTAAACCCACCCATTAACGTGCTTCATTTTGGCCAAAAAACTTACTTTACACCTTAAATTCAGTCACACATTTCAACCACAGCAATAGAATGCCAAAACTATTCACCCTGAAACTATACAGCATGCCCCACTGTAAGAAAATGTGTAGGATTCCTCCAATAAACTTTTTTTTCCTTCAGTAAGGCTTCAGTCATAAAAAATTATGCTCGTGTAGATCATAAAGGCATCATAAAGACTGATGACTGATTCTGCAAGTAGAAATGAGTAGGAGCAGTAAGAAGAGGATGTAAAATGAAATTTGTCAGATGAGATTACAATGAAAATCATGAAGCCTTCACGTAGAATATTCATGAAAAAATTTCAGTGCCTATAATGGAGATTTTCTGTGTTTTTATTATGTATGCAAAATGAAGTTAGACAAAGCCTTTTATGTTGTAAAGAAGGATAAGCTGGTAGTAGGAAGTACGAAGAAGATTTATGAGTGTTGAATTAAGTGGATGTTATTTTTGTTGTCGGCAGGATTAGTCTCTCTAAGATGCATAAATTAACGAATTTTATTTACAGATGTATATAAGGCTGAAAACTTTTAATTAAAAGGAAAATCCTTGTGCTTATCCTTGCTTGGTCACAGAGTTATAGTGTTCAACTTTAAAAATACTCTGGCATTATTTCACTGGCATGTACTGTAAATGTATAAACTTTTCACATAAAATCTCTTCATAGAAGAATACCACAAAATTAACTTTTTCAAAGTTCATTGCTTCAATTGTTATTTTCACGACAATACTTCCAGCACTTTTCCACTTAAATTCATCACAATTGTAATGTAAAATCGAAATTGAAATTCAATTAGTCGTGTCAATGTTTTACACAGCATGAGAAAACGAAATAATCGAATAAAGTAACAACGAGAAGAATTAAATATAAATTCCATAATATGCGTAACAGACGACTTATAAAGAAGAATGTTTCCATCGAGATGTAGGTATATGTGAAGAATTACTCTCGAATGAGATCGCAAATGACAAATTTGTGTAATTGAATTTGAATATTTCAAAAAAAGATGTAATGATGAAAATGTAATATAATTATTTGAATGATGAAGCTTATGATGATAATGCGGTGAATTGAATAATGAATGAAACATGAGAAATTAAAGAATTTGGAGAATAATCAATGAAAATATTTTATGCTGCTTTTTGTGTGAACTTGGAATGAACTACAGATAGTATCAGCAGAATCTTTATTGGATGTGAAAATATTCATTTTAACCTAATTAGGGTTTTATGAAGTTTAAGTACCGAAAGTTGAAGTTGGTAAAGTAATATTCATTATTTAAGGTAATGTAAGGACTGGATTCTAGGACTGCATAGATCAGAACAGGGGCTCAATAATTAAACCCTCTTTCGACAAATCAAACAATTCAAACTATGATCTTCTTACAGAGTCAGGAGCGTATCCAGAAACTTTTAAGGAGGGTTTGAATAAATTTGTATTGCCAAAGGGTTGGATTCTAATCAAAAATGCATAAGGGATTGTTTACTTATGACCGAATTTAACGGTCCTTTTTCGAAAAAGAAAAATGGATTTGCAGAAATTTCCATTGTTTTTTTTCCTGCTGAGCCCCCCTCTTGAACGTCATAAGTGAACGGACTCTAACGGTAAACACTGAATACATATAGCCAGTGCATACCCACCCTGACAATCCCTAATCTCAATCCTCTCTGAACTGGATTTTTTCAAGCACAGACAACAACTTCAAATCAACATTATAATAATTTTCATTTCATTGCCAAAATTTTCCACATAATCAAAATCATTAAAAATGTAGAAGACAAAAACATGGAAAGAAATTAAGAAGAATTGAAACAAGAAGTGTGCATTAAATGATACAAAGAAGAGGAAGAAGGATGGAACAAAAATCTCATCAAACAAAGTAGAATCAAATGTTGAATTTCCTATATCATCTGAGATATCCCAAAAATTGGCTTCCGTTCTCTCATTTTCTATTTAAACTTTACGTGACTTGAATTCTTCAAGCATTTCTCGTATTTTATTTGTTAAGCTTTCATAGATGCTTTGGTAGATTGAAAATTTTCCTTTAAATAATGAAATAAAACGGAAGGAAAAGATCTTGAAAAATTTAAGGTCTTAAAATTTATATGAGAAAATTTCGCTTGGATGAAAAGGATTGGAACAAAGTTTATTTTTCAAGGAGAAAATCATAAATATTATTTCTGTAGCCTCTGAAATTTCCTGTCAGTGAAGATTTAAGCTTTAAGCTATCTAAAATTAATGATAAGAAACATTAACTTTGACATTTTCGGGTTAAAATGATTTTCATTAAATTAGTAACTAACGAAGATGCTCTACATGCCAACCGAAAAAATTTGCATAATTTGTTACTTCTCTTGAGGGGTTCATGGCATTTAAAAAATTTTCCCCAATGATATGTACTTGTCATCGCCAATCCTAAAAGAGGATTTAACTTATTTTGTCATGAAAAGGGGTTGAGATGAGCAAAAAATGCCATTAATCATTTAAAAATTGATTATCATCGATAATTATCGGAAGGCTGGAAACAGTCACTTTGAAAAATGTCAACATCAGATTTGCCCTACTAAGGAGTACAAGTAACAAATTTAAACTCATCCTTATTGAAATTTTTGCAAGCATTTAAAATAATAACTGTTCAAAACAGCACAAATGAAATTTGACAACGCAGTGGCGTATCCAAAAATAGTGATTTTTTTTTGTGGAATGTTCAAGAGTAGGAGGGAGGGAGGGGGTGGGGGTTCAAAAGTCTTAGCAAATTAAAGAAATTTTCATTTGAGCTTTCATTTATTACCCACTCTCTTGCTCTCAAACTACGTCCCTGAAGAGCCAATGTCTACCAAACGTTTAAATATTAAAAAGATTAATAAAGAATCATTTCTCCATCTAAAAAGAGAAGCTATAAAAATAAAGAAGAGCGACTAATGAGAATTAATCAA